TGTCTTCCCTGCTGGGAAGGACTTGGGGCAGAACAGCCCCGAAAACGTCACAAAAGCTCATTTCAAGTACAAAAACCAACAGAAACGGCTAAGACTCACCCTGCTCGCCTGCATCAACCAGCCAAGGGCGCGGATGGGACTGGGGGAGCAGCTCTGGGCGAGCTCCTGGCTGCGGGGACCGTGGGTGGAGGGTGAGGGTTTCTTCTGGTCAGTCCTGTTCTCCGGCTGCCTCCCCGCATCGCTGCACATCCCAGGGAGCCTCCCTGCTGGATCCTGCTCTCGGAGGGTGTTTACAGCACACCCAGGATAGACGGACGTATGTAGGTCAGCACACAGCTCCGTAGGTGTTGCGCAGGGACCTGAGCCATCTCCTTGGATCAAAACAAAGCCTAACCTGGGTTCTCTTCATATACAAAGGTTTGCCCTTAGCTTCGCCCAAAAAAGGTTTTTATCCTTTGCAACTGAGGTGATTTGTGAGTGCGTGGGGCTATGCAATGCTAAAGCCTAGAAAATGCCATAGACAAAATAACTTCCTGCAGAAAAAATACTGGTTTTAATCTTATTTTTGAGGCCATTCCACATGTTTCTTAGGGCCTGCAGCTGGGTCTGGACTGAATTCGTTTGCCCAGCTCTGAAAATGGTAGCAGAGCCGTGATTTCTTCTGTGAGACGGGAAAAAGAGAACTGAGCTCCTTTACAAACAGGGCAGCTCGATCCCAGGAGCGACGCAGTGCGAGGATGCCCCGGTGCTGCCAGCTGTGAGAGACCATGGCCAGCAGGTTTATGGGCTCCCTCCTGTGGGAAAGTCACTTGTTGCAGATCTGAATGGGACAGGAGAAGCCACCGCTCAGCCCAGCAACATGGCCTTGGCTCTGGGCTGCATTTCATCCCTGATGGAGCAAACCAGTCACGGATGGGACCAGGCTGCATTTCTTCCCCAATGGAGCAAACCCAGCCATGGATGGGACTGGGCTGCATTTCATTCCCAAGAGCAAACCCAGCCATGGATGGGACTGGGCTGCATTTCATTCCCAAGAGCAAACCCAGCCATGGATGGGACTGGGCTGCATTTCATCCCCAATAGAGCAAACCCAGTCACAGATGGGACCAGGCTGCATTTCATCCCCAATGGAGCAAACCCAGCCATGGATGTGACCAGGCTGCCCCAGGGACAGGACAAGGCACAGGGCCTGCCTGGACAGTGCATTGAGGTGGCCAGGGCAGGACACTTGGCTCTCGATCGATTCCCATTGTGGTCTCAGAGAAGTCAATGACCCCGGGTGTGCTCAGAAAGGGGGTGTAACGAGCCCTCCCTGCTAAGGAGGGTGTGCCAGCCTTCATTAAGGGCTCAGGCACCGTCCCAAGATTGGCAGATAGGGTAGGAAGCCAGATGAGCTCACTCTCCGCACCAATCTTCCCAGACAGCACTGGCAGGACCGGGTTTGCAGCAGCGTTTTTGAGAGAGGAGGGGTTGCTGGAGCCAACCTGTGCCGCCCACGTAGCGCGGCCGACACCGCCAGCACGGCACAAGGCACCCCTGCCATTAAGTGGGTTGTAAATGAGATGCAGACCACGGGCTGGAGCTAAATTTTGCCCTGGCGCAGTGAGGCAGGAGGCAGCGAGTCCCTGCATGCCCTCTGCAGCGAGGGCTGCCCCGCACACGGCTGCTGTCAGTGCAAGCCGGATCAACCCAGGGGCTGCTCTCACGTACCTGGCTGCTCACAGGCCCCAGGAGCTGCAGATTTTGGGAGACCCCTGGGGCACTCACTTCAGGGCTGTGTTGGGGACGGCCAAGAAATGGGGCACAGAGATCAGCACCATTTACCCTGCAACTTTTTAGGGTACAGCCTTGCTTAGCACAAACCCCATGGAGAGACCGACATCCCCACAGCAGCTCTTCCATGTGCCGAGTGCCTTTCTGGGCAGTGTTTTCTCATGGGTTGGAGCCATCTACGGTGAAATGCTCAGGGTCCAAGGCTTTATGTGTGTGAGTTCCTATCTCGATACGAACGATTTTGGAAGAGCATCACTGTGCCACAGGGACAGCGCATGTCCAGGCACCAGAAGGACCCCAGGACCAGGAATGCTGGGCATGGCCAAGCACCACAGCACAGAAGCCACCGCACTGGGCAGGACACGCTTGTGGAGGAGGAAGATGGGAGGGCAACGCACGGCAATGGCACCTCCGACCGCCGCACTCCTCCCTCCACCGCTGCCACCCCAATTACCACACGTCCGCCCAGGAATGAAGGGAATTAGGAGGAAAATTGCTCTGAATCACTCTGAGCCAGTCTCTTCCGCTGGCAACTCCCTCCTAGGCGCCTGCCACCACGGTGCCATCCTGCGGCAGCGTGTCCCCATCCTGCGGCAGCGTGGCCCCACCCCCCGCAGCCTGTCCCCATCCTGCGGCAGCGTGTCCCCATCCGCAGCAGCATCAGGCTGGCTTTGCTGGACTCTGGGTGCCAGTTTGCCCATGACAGTGGGCTGGCTCCTGGCCACTGGCCTCACCAGCACCCCAGGACCGACCAGTTTGACCCCACTGTGACTCATCCCCATCAGTGTCCAGCCTGTGATGTCCATGGTGCACCAAAGTCCCGAATTGCCACTGCACTGGGCATTGCACAACCCCTCCTGTGCCAGCCACCGGGCTGCTGACTCATGGAGAGGGTCTGTGGAGAGCAAAGGGGTCTGTAGGGGGCAAAGGGGGTCTGTGGTTGGCCAAGGGGGCCTGTGGAGGTCGAAGGGGGTCTATGGCATGTTGAGACGGTCAACAGCAGGTGGAGGGGGTCCGTGGTCCACAGGGGGCCCAGGCAGGATGGGGATGCTGGGGCGGTGTTGGGTCCCAGCTGGGAGGCACAGTTGGATCTCATCCTCTCATTACTGGGTCATTGATAAAACCCAGCCCTGCAGGTTTCAGTTTCTTTTCTCCAGTTTGAGGGGTTTAGGAGGGGGTCAGCAGTGCAAGGTGCTGCCGAGGTCCCACCAAGGCTGTTTTGAGGGGACATGAATTTAGCATTTAACTGCATCCACCATTTCCCTGCTGCTCTGAGAGTCTGTGGTGCTTCCCCTTCTCCTGATTCCCCAGGACCCAGGTAAGAGGAGCTGCTGTGGCAGCACTGGGAAGGAAAGGAGCCCTCACCAGTAAAACCCTGTGGTGGTTTGAGCAGGGGTGTGAGAGAGGAGCTCTGGGTGTTTGCAGCTTGGTGCCCAAAAGTTCAGTTTTTGTATCTGCTGCATGAATTGGGATAATTCTGCTTATTATGAACAGCACTGGTGGTGTAGAAACGGGGGCTGTGATGAGCAGGGAGGCACAGGAGGGGATTTGGCTGTGATCGATGGGTTTGGCCACTGGGTTGTGGCCCTTGGGGAGCAGGTCAGGACCACGGGCTCCCTGGGCTGCTCCAGGGCCTGTGGCCACCTCAATGGCCTTGGTGGCGAATGCCAGCAGGTGGCAGCAGGAGCCTGTCACAGCCTGTCCCTTCCTCAGCTTGCAGAGGCCAAATCCTGCCTCACGATGTGGGGTGAAGGGGTGTGCATGGATTTGGGGTTTCACTGTTGCGGGAGGACCCGGCAATGGCCTCTGTGCACTCCCAGCCCCGCGTCGCTGTCCTCGTCCTGCCATGCTCAGGGTGTGGAGGCCCCTTCTTTGTCACTTCCGTTGTGACGGTCCAAGAGCCCCCACGGGTGACACCACAGGGGTCTGGGGACCGTAAAATCCCGCTGAGATGGCAAATGTCCTGTTGCACCAGCGCCGTCAGCTTCAAGACTGGTTTGGGGATGGACCTGGGTGGGTTTTGGGTACCCGGATTTGTGTGCTCGGTCCCTGTGCTGCAGAGAGGGGGCTGAGCACCCCCTGGCAGGATGCTGAGCTCCTGCAAAGGGGACCCAAACCACCCTGTCCCAAAAGCTGGGCATGTCCTTGTGGGGAACAGCTTAGCTCCTGGCCATGATGTGCTCGTGTCCTGGCACGGTGGTGTCAATGCACCCGGGTGTTACCAGCTCCAGAGACCCTGCAGTGCTGAGGATGGGGTGCAGGATTGGGTGCTGGGTGCAGGGTCTGGCTCTGTAGAGGCAGAGTTGAGTGGGCTCTGGTCACCGCAGCAGATTTTACCTCCTAAGTAGGTGTTTTCCCCTCCAGATGTCAAAACCAGCCCCAAAGGAAGCTGAAGCAATGGGGACAGCAGCGGTGAAGCAAATTTGCGGTGCTCTTGTGCTAAGCAGGGCGCTTGCTTCAGCGCTGCTGTTTTGGGGAAGCTTGCGGCAGAGCGGGGCGATTTCAGGGCTTTGACTTGCCCTTGGGAAATCACAACTGTTCCTTTCTCCCCCTTATCTGCAAACCAATCTCTAAGCACGCACAGCAGCTGCTAATAAGGGTGCAAACTGGGGGTGCTCTGGGTGAGGAGCTGGGGTTTTTCGGGGTTTTTATCCACATGAAACCCAACAGTCGAACCTTGCTGTCGGCTGCAGCTCTAAAACTAAATACCTTTGCTCCCAGGCTTCATTCCAGCCCCATGCCAGGGCTTTGCAGAGCGAAAATGCCCCCAAAAAAGGTGCTTCTCCAGAAAAGAGTGCTTGTCTATCCCTGTCCTTCCTTCCAGCTCTCACCTACCACCACACCTTAGCCCTAGGAGATATGCAGACCCAAAATGGGCTCTTTTTTGTGGTTAGAAATGCAATGGCTTGTCAAATTATGCTGCGGAGCACCTTGTGAAGAGTATTGTGAGCACCAGCTGTGATGAGCATCCAGCTGGAGCCTACAGCCTGGTCCAGGCTGGATTTGCCCCATTTGGGTCCGTGCTGGGAGCAAATGAGGTGCAGGGTGACTCCCTCCAGGAAAACCCACACAGACACGAGAGGAGCTTCGACAGCCTCAGGGCACATCTTTATTTGGCAGCAAAACCATCAGAGGTGAAGGAAGGAAATGAGGGAGGAGTTGGAGAGGGGGAAGTCGGGGGCTGTGAGTGCTGCGTGGGGACCTTTGGCCGGGGACCGGAGCCCACCTCAGTGTGGGTGCTGGTGCTGGTGCTTGTGCTGGTGTTGCTGCTGCTGCTGCTGCTGGCCCTCGACCTCGTGGAGGTGCTCGTGGGTGGCGATGGTCACGCGGGTGATGAGCAGCATCGTCTCGCAGAAGCTGATCTGTGCGTCCTTGTTGACGTCCAGGTCCTTCATGATCTCGTCGATGGTGGCCTTGCTCTTCACGTGCTGCAAAGGAAGGGGCAGGGTGAGGGCAGCGTCTCAGACCCTCGCAGGTGCAGTGTCCCCAAATGCACGGTGCTATCCGTGTCCCCATCCTCATCCCATCACTTTGGGTACTGCAATGATTCACCCATGACGATGAAGCAATCGGAGAGGAGCGGGCTTAGCATCACTGTGAGGACACAGTGCAAGACAGGGACTGATGAAGGCAGCAGCATCGTCAGCTGCTTCCTTAGCAGGTTAGATTAAAACCACTTTACCTCCTTCTTTAGCAAAGTGAATTATTGAAAAAATAGGGTTTTTTTGGTATTTCTGACAATCTTGGGCAATATGATCCTGGTTTTTGCAGATAAGATGATGAGGGAAATACTTAATTGCAGATTCACCCAGATCTGAGAGGGTCTCCTTCATCTGTCCTTATGGAGCACGTTTAGAAAGTGGCAAACTGGACAGGGAGGGTCCTGGGGCACGGGAGCAGAGTGGGAAGGGGCTGAATCGAGTCCCTGGGGGTATTTGGGCAATGGGGTCCACTCGGCTCCCTCCCACATCGGCCCTGAGGACCCCACATTGGCTCCACTCACCCTCAGGTAGTTCGCCAGCTGCTTCTCAATCAGCAGCTTCAGCTCATTCTTGGTCAGGGTGTCGCTGTGCCCCTCTCGTCTCGAGTACTGGTGGAAGACGTCGATGATGGCGTCCATGGCCTTTTCCAGCTCGGAGAGCGGCTCCTGGGTCTGGGAGGTCTGGAAGAGAGAATTACAGAGAATAATGTCAGGAACCAGAATAAATGGGGGAAGTTGATGTGAACCAGTGAGGTTCATGCCAGGTGAGGATGCAGTCTCGATCAGTCGTTAATTTTTGGAGTTAAATTTGAGCTGTTTGCTCTGAGTTTGCTCTTATCCACATGCCAAAGGGGTCTGAGGGGGTTTGCAGCCTTTGCTGCCTTCTGTTCTGAGCTGTGCAGCCACAGATAACACCTGAGAGCTGATTTCCACCCCCAGAATGTGCCTTCTGCAAGTCGGGCTTCCAAAATAGCCAGCGGCACTGCAAAGACCTCTGTTGAGATGCAGGTACTGAGTATCAGAGCTGATGCCCAGGGGTCCCGTTGGTGGTTGGACCGTGACCACCTCAGAGACCTCTCTCCATGTGGGATGAGCCCAAGCAGAGGTGACCACCCTCTGCCAGCAACTCATGGCTCCTGAGGGTCCTTGCACCTCCGATGGCCCAACCAGCACCTGGAAAAAAGCATCGAGACCTTAACCAACCCTGGACTTGCCTTGCTCATCTTGACGGCGTAGCGAGATCAGCTCAGGCAGGAGCACGACTGGTCCCAAAGACAGCATCTCTTATAGCCCGGCTGTCCCCCTGCACCGCCCCGCAGGTTGTGAAATATCCCCGTTTCATCCAATTCCCGTCCCTCTTGGTGTTGCTTAAGAGCCAGCGGTAGTTCCTTAAAAGGTGCCTCTGTGGCTTTTCCTGCAAGGCTGGTGTCACGTACTCTGGGTGGCAGGGAGGTGGCCAGGACATGGCCGTGTCCCCACAGCTGAGTCCCCTTCACCCCTTCCATTGGGGCTGTGACTCTACATCCACTCCCAACGGGAGTCCGTGCCCCTTGGCTTCAATCTGACCCATTTTATTCCCCTCTATAGCAAAGTATTTCCATGCCATGAGGCCAAGAGGACCTGCAGCATCACCCCTGCACTTCTCTGATGCTGCTTGACCCCGTAGCATCCCTGTCCTTGCAAGCTTAGTGCACACAAGCACCCAAAAGCATCCCCCCTCACCCTGCTTCTCACAACCCACAGAGAGCATGGCCAGGGCTGCCTGTGTGTCATGGGGACAGGGCAGTGCACCAGCACCCAGGGACCATCCCTCGCCTGCAGCGATTCATGACCGGGCAGTAACACAGGGCGGGTTCCCGAGCTGGCCAGGCTCCAGAGCTCCATTGCTGCTCCTGGGGTTAGCAGAGGCTGTGGGTCCTCCCCACCCCAGCTCCACTCTGAGCTGTGGAGCCCAGGGGTGGCTCAAAGCCCTATATTTATTTTTTTTGGACTATGTCCTCACCTTGTGCCTTCTTTTGTTGTTGTTCCTCAGCGCTGCAGAGACCAAGCGCAGGCGCTTTGGCTCAGAGCAGCGAAAATCAGAAGTAAAACGAGATTTTCCAGTGCTTTTTCATCGAAATCCTCTGCCTGCTGACTCAGCTGACCTGTTCAGGGGTTTGTTTAACCTGCCAGACACGATGTGTTAATCCAACACAAAGTAGAGGCTAAAATAAGGCCGTGAAGAGGCCTAGGGTGAGCTCCAGGAGCTGACATGGGGCAGGACCGGGTAGGAGCTGCTCAGGGACACAGCCCTGGTCCCCAAACAGTGGCCAAGGGGACCCCAGCCCTCACTGGGGGTGCGTTTCACAACAGGAGCGCTCTGATGCACGAAGCGGCTGGAGAAGGGCTGGGGCGTTTCACAACAGCGTTGGGGACCATCCGCCCCGTTGCAGAAATTTGTAGCAATTTCAGGAAACTGCACTTTTGGTCATTTTGCTCTCTCAGAGGTGAGGAAGGGCAAGGAGGAGTTACAGGGTGTGGGGTGGACTAGGGTGGTGGCCAGACCCTAGGGATGAGACCCCAAATATTTGGGGTTTAAATGCCAGCGCCTTCACTAAGGTGACCAGGGAGCCTGGGTGTCCCTTAGGGTCACAGGAACTTGGGCTCGCACAACTTTTTTACCTGGATCTGCAGCTCCCTTTGCATGGGGACATCCCTTGATGGTTGGACTCAGTCTTAAAGGTCCTTTCCAACCAAAACCATTCTATAAAGAAGCGGCTGCAATCCTGGCCCTAAGGCCACCAGGGTTGAGCAAGGAATCACAGAATCCCAGAGCGTTAGGGATTGGAAGGGACCTCCAAAGCTCATCCAGTCCAATCCCCCTGCCGGAGCAGGAACACCCAGATGAGGTTACACAGGAAGGCGTCCAGGCGGGTTTTGAATGTCTGCAGAGAAGGAGACTCCACAACCTCTCTGGGCAGCCTGGGCCAGGGCTCTGGCACCCTCACTGAGAAGAAGTTTCTTCTCCAATTGAAGTGGAACCTCCTGTGTTCCAGTTTGTGTCCGTTACCCCTTGTCCTATCATTGTTTGTCACCGAGAAGAGCCTGGCTCCATCCTCGTGACACTCACCCTTTAAATATTTCTAACCATGAATGAGGTCTCCCCTCAGTCTCCTCTTCTGCAAACTAAAGAGCCCCAGCTCCCTCAGCCGCTCCTCAGAAGGGAGATGGTCCACTCCCTCCATCATCTTTGGATTGGGAAGGAGCTGGTGGCCATGGCAAGGGGAAGGTTTGGCTCAAGGGGATGGGGGCTCCTGGTGCCCTGCAAACCTGAGCCCTGGCAGGGCACTCCTTGCTTGGCAGTGGTTTCAAAACTCTTTCGAAATACGCATTTACGGGCAAGAGGGTGGCTGAGGGAGGAAGAGGTCTCAGCTGGGTTTGGCGCTGTGAGGTCTGCTGTATTTCACAGCAGATTTTAGCCCAGGATGGGGATAGGAGAGATGTGCTGATTGCCAGACGTGATTTTAGCTCGAAGGAGCCAGGGGATGTACCCAGTGATGCTCTGGCTACCACAGGAGCTGGGCCAGCCTGGAGCTGTAGGACAAAGGATTTCCTGGTCCTTTAACTCGAGCTGAAAGCATTTGCACATCTCGGCCATATCAAACAGTGACAAACTCGGCTGCTTGGCAGGCACCGCCTTGGTCAAGCCCAAGGGGAGCCAAGGGGGTAATTTACTGGTGGAAAACTCCACAGTGTTTCCATCTTGGCTGGGCAGCAAAAGATTCAGCAGGGTTAGGAGGGAGAGTGACTTGGATGTCTGGGAAACCTCTGAAATTGGAGTTTTCATTGAGTTTCAGGGAGAAAATTCTAAATCTCGCCATTTCTCATGGACTAAAGCTATCTATATGGATAGTGAGGTCTGAGTGTATTTTATTTTCCTAAGAGCACCCTGGCAGTGTTGTGAACTGCTGTTGTCATGGATATTAATGCATTTTTCCTGCTCATGTGTGACTCTGTGTCCAGAAGATGCTCTTGGTGCAGCCAAGGGGAAAAATCTGGATGAGGATGGGCAAAACGGGAGGTGCTTCCCCAAGCAAGGCTGGCTCTGCTCTTCTCAGTCGAGGCAGAAAATCTCCTCTGCCAGGAGAAAAACCTCTAAATCCATTAATTCCATTAATTTTAACGGTTAAAACCCAGCAGAGCTCAAGCAGTGCCTTGCACTGGTGTTCTGGTCATTAATCCCCTTCCAACCCATCAGTCCAGCCTGGACCAGACACAGAAATGCAGCTCTTGCCCACCCACCATAAGCTTCTTCATGGGTTTTTGGGGTGCCTCACCTTAACCCTTTATCCTATGGCCCTGGCAGGACCATGCGTTCACTGTGGCTGGTGCCTGCCCTCATCTGTGGGAGATGAATGCGATAAAGAGCGTGGAGACAAGGACTCGGTGAACTTCAAGTGATGCTTTATTGTCTTACAAGCAGGCATGACCCAAGCAGACAGGAAGCAGTCAAAGCCCCATTCCTATAAGCAAACCCCTCTGGGTTTTCCCCTGAGCATGCACAGAGGGTTCAATCCTTGTCCGGTCCACAGCGGTCATGGTTGTGGCTGATGCAATGGGCATCGTTTGTCACCTTGGACATCACGATGGTGAACTCCTCAAAAGTCACCTCTTTGTCCTTATTGATGTCCGTCTCTTGGAAGAGCTTGTTCAGGTAGTCGGGTTTGTTCCTGTTCTGCAATGGGGAGACAGGATGTGTTAGCATCTTTATTCTTGCATGCCTTGGAAGCATTTGGAAGCCGCAGGATCCCTCTTTTATGCTGCAGCTTGCCCCTGGTTAAAACCCCAGGCTCCTGTCCTAAACCCTCCGAGCCGCTCAGCACCCCTGACGCGGTGGGAAGGATGAGTGCGGGTGCCCACACAACGCAGGGGCAAGCTGGGTCTGGTAACAGAACCCACTCCATGAACCACAGCCCTTGGTGGGGACCGCATCCCCTTCCCCTGGGAGCATCCCTAGGGGCAACCTCAGCCTCATCCCCTCAAGAGCATCCCCATGGGAAGCACAGCACAGCCCCTGCGAGCACTCACACAAGCAGACAGGAAATTCGGTGCCTGCTCCTTCATCAGCTTCTGGAAGTCATTGAAGCTGAGGCTGTCGAGCTTGCCCTCCCGCGAGCTGTAAGTGTGGAAGACATCTATCACGGTTTTCAAGGCCAAATCCATGCTGCAGTTTCCCGGGAGCCGTGGGGTATCGGAAGGGGCAGGTCTGTGCGCGGTGCTTGCAGACATGGCTGAGCTTTTGAGGTACCTGTAAAAACTGTGTGGACAGACCTAAGGTCCACGAGGTGCCCCAAAAACCAGGCACCCCACGCCCTTGGCCACCACTGAGTTGTGCTGCACCTCGGCAGCGGCGCAGCGGATCTGCACCAGGGCTGAGGAGCAAACCAGCAGCGCCCAGGGGCAGTCTGAGCAGGTAATAAGCACTTTTAGGAATATTGACTTTTATAGCATCACCCAACTGCCTCTAATTTCAGCTTCACCCAAGAAGCAGCTTATTCTTGCTGTCCTGGAGGCATTTGTCAGGCAGGTTAAACCTGCAGCCGCTTATCTGGACCGCACCACCGACAGCAGAGATGACTTCAAGGCGAGGAGCATGGTTCAGACACAGGTTTCTCTGCAGCCTCTGCCTCGCCAACTCCTCCTCTTCCTCTCTCTGTGAATCCCCCCAGCCTATTCGGGCTGAAAGCCCTTTTTACCGCAGTCACTGAGCACAGAGACCCGGCTCTCTGTTGGATGCCATCGTGCATCTTTCTCCTTGTCAGAGGAAACAATTGCACCTCCCTTAAAGATGGCACAGAAATGCTATCGATTTATACTTGTCTTGTTTTAGCCAAAACCAACCTCCTGCCTGACCCTGAGCAGAAAGCATCCCCTGGAATGAAACAGGCACGGCATGAAGCGACGTTCAACATCGCTTCTCTCTCTCATAGCTCCTGCAAGACCCATCGCAGCGTCACTTACCCGTGTCTCCGAGTTGGGTTTGCAGAGGATGGGTCTGGTGTAGCGATCCAAGAGCCCGGACAGCCCTTTTATACACGTTTGAAGTCCTCTTTCATCAGCGGTGCTGACACGCCTGCTGCAAGCAACAGCTTGAGTCTGCATTTCCCGTACCTGGAAATTGCAAGGTGGGAACTTCTGAGCCCCTCCCTGTCTCATACCTGTGCGCATAGTTCCTGGTTGCACCCACCGGCCTCTGGAAATGCTGCCCTTCCACCCCACCGTCACCTCTGATGGGGCCGAGATGCTCACGCACTGGGCAAAATATGGGCAAAACACGGGATGTGCCGTCACACCTCAACGTGAGCGTAAAGGGACAGCCCGTCTTGGCAGAAAATGCCAAAACTTTGCAGGTTCTGCAATGTGCTGACAATCTTGGGCACTCTTGTGCTGGTGTAGAAGAAAGATGGCCTGTTTCAGGGAGATAACTTCGTGTATTGGTTGTTTTTAATGGGATTTCTGTTTTCCGCAATACCATCTGGTTGAACGCTAGCAAAGACGAAGGCAGCATCCACCTTTTGATAAATAAGAACGGTTTGGGTTGGAGGGGACCTTAAAGTCCATCCATTTCCAACCCCCAGCTGTTTTCCAGGCTATTTTCACATTGCTTGTACCAAACTTTTTCTCCTGCTCGAGAAACTTTGTGGAGCAAACAGGACATAAATCAAGAAAACGGGAGGTCACAGTCTTTGCAGGCTGGAGTCAACTCGCGAGTGTTTTGCAAGAGTCACCTCCGTGCCACCCATCTCGCGTTACAGAACAGGTACTGGAAGAATGGGGAGATTATAGAAAGATGTAAGAATAGGACAGTAGGTTCCAGGAAGAGGAGAGGAACAGAAAAACAAAGGGGTGACCATTCCTGTTTGAGGATGCTTCTCGCGTGTCCCGCGGGCAACACCGTGTATTGCTGCATGAGATTTATTCTGGTATCTCTGAGTCACTTTATTGCTTTTTTGTTTCCTTGCCCTACTCATCGGGGACTGTCCACAACCCCAAATTGCACCCTCATTCCCCAGCTCACCTTGCAAAGTATCGGCCGAGGCTGGGTTTTTGCCCTGTGCGCTTGCATCCAGATCTGCGGGCTCTGAATTCCCTGTCTTTCCTAGCGATGCTCCCCAAAATCTGGAGGGGAGATCAGTTTGTGGTGCCCGGTCCCACAAGGGGAAGCGATGCCCAAATGACACCTGGGTACGTTGGCAGGGAAGGGGATAACGGGGGGACAACGGCTGCTCCCCAGTGGCAAGATTGGGAACCCAGAGCGGGATCACCCGTGTCATTGAGTGCGATAACCCTGCGATAGCCCCGTGCTTGGTTTCACACGGAACGGGCTCCTGGGTTCAGCTGACGTTGGAAATGTCGGAGCCTCCTGAGCCTGAGGGTTCCTCACTCAGTGCTCGGTCATTGCAAATACAGGAGCTCATTTCCACTCATGTATCTGCTCCCTGGGAGCCCCTGATGGCCTGAAAATGTGCTGTGACCTGGGGGGCTGTCACCCCACACAACAAAAACACCCGATTTTATTGTGCAGAGTTAATACCAGCTCTCTGGAGCCCCTCGATCTCATCCTTTACGTGTCAGGACTTGCAAGATACGCACTGGTTGCTTCACGAGTGGCAAAATCATTGCAGGCACCCCCAGCACCAGAGCTGGGTCTTGGCAGACGCATGGGGAAGCGGCCCCTGGCTCTGCTTCACCCCTGGTGTGCCCTGAGCTGGTGCAGAGGAGCCAGGAGAAGCAAGACTGAGGATGCTCCGGTGCAGCCCCCGGCTGCTTCAACCCAGGATCCTCCCCAGCATGACGGAGTGCTCAGCACCCCACCATCTGATGAGGAGAAGGGTGCTGGGGCACCCTACACTACAGGACAGGGAGCCCATGCAGCCTGTGCTGCTCAGCCAGGACCCCCCAACATTGGGTCCCTCTGTGCCACCTTCCCTTTCCCATTGCTTCTCCAGTTCAATCTTCATTTAAACCCCCACAGCCCTGGGCTGGGTGCGCATTGCATCCTCCCTGGTGACAGCAGGACACAACACAGATGCATTTTGTGCTTCAAGAAAGAGATTTTATTTCAATGCTGTAGTCAGAAGCAGACAACAAAGCTTTGGGTACAGGTTTGTCTGTGCTTGTGGGCAAACAGAAGGAATGGTGCTGCTGGGAGGGGACAATCCCATGGGCACAGTCACCACAGGAACCACTTCATTTTCTGGGACCGTGGTCATGGTCATGGTCGTGGTGGTGGTGGTGGCCATGGTCATGGTCATGGTGGTGGCCGTGGTCGTCATGGCCGTGGTCGTCATGGCCGTGGTCGTGGCCATGGTCACCAATAGGCTGGTGGGATCTATTGTGGCCATCAATGAACACGAGACTCAGCGTGGACAGGAACTCGGTGAACTTCAGGCGGCCATCGTGGTTGTGATCTGCTTTGCTGAACAGCTGGCTGATGTAGTCATCGATGGACGTTTTGGGCTGCAGCAGGACAAACGTGACAAGAGTCAGCCTGAAGCATGGCGAGGCTCAGGGTCACAAGGCTTTCCCAGCAGGGACTGGGAAAAAAACCCTTGGAAAACCTTCCTCCTCCATCGGGAGGCTCCCAACCACCCCCATGCCCCAGGGAGGCCACCACCCCATGAGCCCTTGTCAGCGTTAGGAGAGCAGGACCGCGCTCGGCTCTTACCGGCAAAGTGCTTTGGAGGAAGGGCTTGGCTGTCTCCTTCAACATCTGCGAGAACTCGGGCTTGCTCAGGTAATCATCCAGGGGGTACTTGAGGGCGTACTTGTGGTAGAGGTTGACGATGCACTCCAAGGCGAGCTCGAGGTCGGTTTTCATCTTGCTGGAAAGGAATGGGCAGCAAAGCATTAAACCCCATCAGAGGAGAAGGGCTCCTCTGGGAGCCCCATCCCAGCTCTGGCTGCCCCATGGGGATGGGTTCACCTCAGCGGCACTTCCAGCGCCACCCAAAGCCACCGTTTGGCGAGGACCTACTTACCTGTGAGCGGTGCTGGGTTCTGCAGACGGCAGCGGTGCACGGGAGCTGAGGAGCGGGCAGGAGCAGTGACTGCAGGGTGCAGGCGAGGGCTCTTTTTATACTCTCCTTCAAATACGATTTGTGACACCCTCAAATTTACTTCAGGGTGACAACCCGGAATTGTGCAAGGCTGCGCAGCACGCCCAGGCGGAGATTTCTTGCCTGTCTCCGGGAACTGGCTGCTCCCACTCTTAACGAGGGAGGGGACGCACCAAACTCGTTAGGGCAAAACAAGGAAACACCAAAAGAGACATTTCCAGGGAGCCGGCATCGCTGCTCGGTGACGATGTCAGGGGCTTCCCCCAGAATGGGGCTGCTCCTGCAGAGTTCGGGGGTCTTTGCGGAGATGGTGGACGAGGGCACATGAAAGGTGCTGGGTGGGGGTCTCCAGTGTGGTGGTGCTGTTTTTTCCCAACAGGGGAGGTTGTTCATCTGCCCCAACACTGTTGAGTTTGGCTGGGGGTGGTGTTTGTCCCCCACTGAGTTGCTGGGGGGTGGTCAATGCATCCCACCCTTGGTCAGCTCACAAGGAGCATCCTCCCTGAACCATTTCTTAATGGCCTGGCAGGGAACCAAGTGAGATGTTACAAATCTGGGCACGCCAGCGTGGTGCAGGGAAGTCAACCGGTCCTAGGAGCTGGCGCTTCCCAGCAGCTGTAATTGCTGCCTGATGATAACCCAGGGCATTGGAATAATGGATGTCTTGAATGGTTTGGGTTGGAAGGGACCTTAAAGATGGGCAACTTCCACCAGCCCAGGCTGCTCAAAGCCCCATACAACTGACCCTGGACATTGCCAGGGATTGGGGCACCTGCAGCTTCCCTGGGCAACCCGTACCAGGGCCTCCCCACCATTGCATTGGCAATCACTGCCTCCTCCCAGTGCTGGGGGGATGCTGGTGCTTTTGGGACACCCCACAGTGCTCCCAGTGCCTGGTACTGGCTCCTAAACCCTCTGCATTTGGGGGCAAAGAGGCTCGAGGGGGGACTGGTGCAGAGCCTGTGCCCCAGGATGACCAAGCCCTTCACCTCAGGCTCACACTTGGTGACACTGGCGCACAAAATCCTGTGACGGCCATAAGGGCTTCTAGGAGGTGGGAAGGACAGCGGTGATGAGACACCTCCCTGTCAGCCTCCTAATCCAGGAACACGAGGAACTGGGGCCAAAAAAATAAAAGCCTGAATTGCAGAAGAGCAAAACAAAGGGCCAGGTTGTGCCATGGAGGGTAAGGAAGGGGAGCACCCGGTGCTGAGCGGGACACGGATGCGCCATCGGTGAGACATGACGGGACACGCGTGGGGAGGTGCGAAGGGATGCGTCTGTGCCACGTGGGGAGATGGGAGGAGACACGCGTGTGGTGTGGGGCAGGCGGGCACCGAGGGTCCTCGTGCTGCCACGGAGGCCGCATTCCCATGGAGCTCTTGGCATGCGCTCAGTTGCTGCGTCGTGGCGGCCCTCGCTGCAGTGCAAAAGCCACCGTGGGGTGTTGGTACCTGCAGCCGTGGGGCCGGGAGCGGTTGTGATGTGGGGATGGAGCCAGCACAGCTCCTGGGGTGATGGTGGGGATGCAGGCAGGCGGGGATGCCTGTGAACAGCATCACTTCAAATAGTCACAAACCGGGTACAGAAAGGGCCAAGGACTTAAAAGAGGGGTTTGTGGGGTCCCTTTCACCTCCCTGGGGGATGCAGGCGCTGTGCAGCCGTGCTCTTGGGAGTTTCACTGTGCCCGGATGGGTGGATGTGGTCTTTTTGTCCTTACACACATGTTCAGGGAAGCACTGGGACTCAAAAACTGGGGCTCATGAAGGAACCCCCACACCCTCTGTTTGGGGGAGCAGGGCATGGGGTGCATCCCCTCACCGAGTCCTTATCACCGACCACCAGCAAAAGGAAAAATGGAGCCGTCCATGGGGTTTTGATTGATTTAAGGTTCAAAAGCGACCACAAACGCAGCAGCAAAACATTTCAGAGGGAAATGACAAAAAAACTTTACAAAGGGACCTCGAAAGGCCCCCGAGGGGCCGCGCCAGCTCTGGTCGGGGGGGCCGCGCCAGCTCTGGTTTGCATTCCTTGTAGGTTGTAGATCGTAGCCGCGGCTCTGTCATGGTGCCGTACTCGTGGAAATTCACTTCCTCGTCCTTGTTGTGTTCCGGGTCCTGTCCGTGCGGGGGTGGGGGGAGCTCAGGGCATGGGAGGTGC